AACTAAATATAATATAATATATATATTTATATGATATATATAAAAACTAATAAAAAAAGATTTTAATTACTTTTAGATATTCTTTTATATTTTAGTTAAACTATTAATAATTGAAAAATACGAAATTGAACTACTATTATAACCGAAATAGGTGTCGCGGGCGCATTTTAGTGAGTTTTAATAGTAAGGTAGGGTAAAGGAGCTTTATTTTTAGCTGAGTACCTTACTAGTACTTAACTACACCGCTAGCTAAGCACTAATATACCATAAGAAGCTATAACACTCTCTTATATACTAAGCGATATAATATAAGAAAAGTCACAGTTTTAATTCTATAATAACCTAACTAAAAAGCATTTATTCCTATAGAAAAATATAAATAAAAAGAAAAAAAAAGGTAGAGAAGTTACCTAAGAAAAGTAATATTATATTAGTTAGATCTAACCTTTTTAGTATAAATAATATTATATACTTAAATAAAAGGGCTTATCTCCCTTAAAAATTAATAAAATATCCTTTTTACCTTTTTTATATTTAATTTTTATTACCTTCACGTGGCGTCCCAACATGATTGACCACTTATACAAACATTTGTTTTACTCGACTGCCTATTGGAGAATTTAGCCAGTCATACTGTGGTCTTTAATGCGCCCGCAGTTGCCAAAAAAAGTCGAAGAGAAACTACCTAATTGTACATGACATTTTCACGCCACAAACCCCAGCATTTACCAAAACAGGCCAGACCGCCATCCTGTTGGGCTCTCCGCGAGAGCCACATGGCACCACATTTTTCGCAAAGCCTCAACAAAAGCCAGACATCTACACATGGGCACATTCACGTGTGTTGGGAGTATTCTCAGCTGTCAAGGCCTCGGTATCAAGTGATGTGAGGGGAATTGTCTCTACAATCGAAGCTTTACGTGTCTGTCAAAAAGGCAAAGTCGCACCACTTTGGCCATGTACACCATATATATAGCTAGCGGCTGGCCATTTATGGACTTTACCGGATATTTCTAATCGATTGAATTATACGAATTCATCCAAGTGGTACAGTCATGGGAAGTACAGAGAAGAAACCCGTGGCGCGGCGCGTGCACATTGCAGACCAGCCAATAACTTTGTTTAATTGGTACCAGCACATCAACTGGCTCAACGTCACTTTCATCCTCGTTGTTCCATTCATCGGTCTTATTTCTGCATACTTGTATCCTGCTCATTTATATACCATCATCTTTGCTGTCGTCTATTATTTCAACGCAGGTCTTGGCATCACAGCAGGTATGCATGCTCTACATGATCTTACAGTAGAAAAAAAAAATTATACAAGTAGCTGACGCAGCAACAGGCTATCACCGCCTTTGGGCTCACTCGTGCTACAAAGCCCGTCTCCCCCTCAAAATCTACCTCGCCGCTTGCGGTCTCGGAGCCGCGCAAGGGTCGATCCTGTGGTGGTCGCGCGGCCACCGCGCGCACCACCGCTACACCGACACGGACAAGGATCCGTACTCGGTGCAAAAAGGCTTCTGGTACTCACATATCGGGTGGATGGTGCTGAAGCAGAACCCGAAGCGCATCGGCCGCGCCGACGTGACGGACCTCGACGAGGACCGCGTCGTCGTGTGGCAGCACCGACACTACATTCCCGGCGTGCTCGTCATGGCGCTCGCGCTGCCGACCGTCGTCTGCGGCCTCGGCTGGGGCGACTGGCGCGGCGGCCTCGTGTACGCGGGCGTGCTGCGCGCCAGCTTCATCCAGCAGGCGACGTTTTGCGTAAACTCGCTCGCGCACTGGCTCGGCGAGCAGCCCTTTGACGACCGCAACTCGCCGCGCGACCACGTCTTGACGGCGCTCGTCACGCTCGGCGAGGGCTACCACAATTTCCACCACGAGTTCCCGTCCGACTACCGCAACGCCATCGAGTGGTGGCAGTACGACCCCACAAAGTGGGCGATTTGGATCTGGAAGCAGCTCGGCCTCGCGTCGGACCTCAAGCAGTTTCGGCGCAACGAGATTGAAAAGGGCCGCGTGCAGCAGCTGCAAAAGACGCTGGACCGGAAGCGCGCCCGGCTCGACTGGGGCACCCCGATTGAGGACCTGCCCGTCGTCTCGTGGGACGAGTTTGTCGAGCAGGCCCGGGATCAGGGACGGGCGTTGACGGCCATTAGCGGCGTGGTGCACGACGTCGCCGAGTTTATCGACGAGCATCCTGGTGGGAAAGCGCTCATTTCTTCATTTGTGGGCAGAGATGCGACGGCCGTGTTTAATGGAGGTGTATATGACCATTCGAATGCAGCGCACAATCTGTTGTCGATGATGCGTGTTGGCGTGATTCGTGGTGGCGGCGAGGTGGAGATTTGGAAGGCTGGTGGTGGTGGTGACGCAAAAGCAAAGTTGAAAGAACCAATTTCATAGCAAAGGCGAAATTGGGGAAGCCATTTCCTTTTCAAAAGTGAAGTTGGGAATGCCATTTTCATAGCAAAGGTCCATGGGCAGGGGAGAGTCGTGAGAAATGTAAATGGCAAAATCCAAACAGACTCGCAACTCTATTCCGTTTGTGGCCGTTTGTCGTTGCTTTCCCATTGTTGAGCTGGCACTTGGGTGTGGCATGCTCAATGTTGGCAAGCAAGTCGCAGACTTGGTGTATTTGGGCTGTGGGATACCGATAAAGGTTTAATCTAAAGTTTTCCATGCATATCAGTTCTTCAAAGAATAAAAAAGGCTTGTTCCGGCAGTGCCGTAGATTCAGAGTTTAACGTCTTGTAACGGTGCCGTTCTGGTGGTTCTGTTACGGAAGCCGCCGGCAATGGCATCTTGCGGCAACTTGCGACGTTATTGATTCGCGTACTTTAAAGGTGGACAAATAGATTTAGGGGCTTTTATAATTGTACATACTGCAAATAAATCCCAGTTTTTTCTGTGGTTTAGATGCTCGGGTCCAGGCAAACCCGAGATTCCGTCAACAGTCGCCCAGTATTAGACGGTGCAGCCTTATCATCCCGTCAAAACGGCCTCTGTAGCGGCCAACGGCACCTCCGGTCCATTGGGCTGGGTGCGGCTCTCCACAGCGGACCTTGGGGGGGTAAACCTTGGCGGACATGTATCAGCTCCGATGCCCGATCCGCAGAGGACATGACTCTTTGCTAATTTTGCTGCTGACATGCAACGACAAATATAAACGCCGGTGATCCATTAATTAGAAATGTCTAATTGTCAGCTATGTGTCTTCAATAAGCGGATACCAGACAGCCATCCTTGGTGTTCATTTCGTAGCCTCAGCCTTCTGTCGCTTTCCGCCCCCACCTCCTTACCTACATCAAGGTAGCAGCCGTATCGCTCGCATTTTTTTTCTTTTGTTCCGCCCTTCCGCCTTGTTTTCTTCTTCTTCATTTCTTTTTATTCGACTGTTGCTGCGAAGCGGCTGGAAGCTCTGTGACGGCTTTTTTGTCTCCTTCATCATCCGAAATTCCCCTGTGTTGCCTGCGTTTCCTCCTCGTCCCCCCCCGCCGTTTGCTTTCTCCGCTATGGCTACCAATAACCGCCAGAGCCTCGACGCAACGCCCGTCTCCCGAACCAGGTCCTCCGCCTCGGTGGCAAGCGCCTTCAATTACCCTCACGGCCATCTCAACTCGCTGAGCGACCAGCAGGAAGACGCGCTGCAAAAATTCAAGGACCTTGTCGAAAAGCGGCGAGTCTGGAAGCGCGGGCCCCCACCATCACACAATGACCAGACGCTACTGTACGTTTGAGGCTGTATCCCACATGGAAAGGTACAGCGAAAAATAGCTAACGCTATGAAAATTTTAGTCGCTTTCTTCGCGCGCGCCGATGGATTGTGGAGGATGCCTATACGCAGTTCAAGGAGACTGAGGACTGGCGCGCCGCAAACGAGCTCAACATTCTCTACGAGACGATTGACCTCGACGCTTACGAGGAATCTCGCCGCCTCGTGAGTCTTTCAGCACCCCAAAAACCAGACCGGATATCCCGGAGATTACGCTTTGGCCGCTGTACAACACTGACACATGCCCACTAGTACCCTCAATGGACCGGCCGACGAGACCGACGAGGCATCCCGCTCTACGTCTATGAAATCCGCACACTTGACAACAAGACGGTGGCCAATTATGAAAAGAATGGCGCCAAGTCGAATTTTTCCAAGGCCAAGTCCGACGGCAAGACCTCGCCCGGTCTGATGCGCCTCTTTGCGCTTTACGAGAACCTCACCCGCTTCAGCCAGCCCTTTGCCACGCAGCTCACCGACCGCGAGAACCCCGACATTCCCATCACCCTGAGCACCAACATTGTCGACGTCTCCGGCGTCGGACTGAAGCAGTTTTGGAACCTCAAAGCGCACATGCAAGCCGCGTCTCAGCTGGCCACGGCGCACTACCCGGAGACGCTCGACCGCATTTTCATCATTGGCGCGCCCTTTTTCTTCAGCACCGTCTGGGGCTGGATCAAGCGCTGGTTCGACCCCATCACCGTGTCCAAGATCTTCATCCTCGCCCCCAACGAGGTGCTCCCGACGCTCGAATCGTTCATTGAGAAGCGCAACATTCCCAAAAAGTACGGCGGTGACCTCGATTATAGCTTTGGCCAGCTCAGCATCCCGGACCCCGCCTGGGATGGCGTCGTGGCCTGGGACAATGGCTACTCGTCGTTTCCCACGGGCCCCATGATATGGGAAGACGTCGAGGGCCAGCCCGAGCGGCTGCAGTGCGTCGCGGTTGGCTATCAAAACGGCAAGCCCCGACGGGAGCGCGTCTGCACGATTCCGCGCACCTGGACGCCCCCAGAGAACGAGATTCAGCCAACGACGAATGGTGAGGCTACGGCTGCTGCGCCCACCGAGACAGAGGCGGCGCCCGGGCCGGTGGAGCAGGGTGCAGAGCATAAATCGCTAGAGTCTTTTCACACGACCGATTCCCAGGTCGACACCCAGATTGGCACCCAGATTGACAACAATGTCGACGCTTTGGAGAAGCTTGGCATTGACGAGAAGAAGCCAGCCGCCGAGCCCACCCCTGCCGTGGCCCAAACCGCTGTTTAGTGGAACAACGTGTTTGAACAGCTGCGCATGTGTAAAGAGTCTCAAACACGATACGAAAAAAGAAGGCGATGATTGGGACTTGTACACTTTGAAATGGGCCATTTTTTTTTCTTCTTTTGCATGCACCGCTACTGGGAATAGCAGCAGACGGGCATCTACATTGGGTCATGGCGTTTACCGCGTACAATTTCTTTTCTTTTATATACCACCAGGATGGTTCTTGGGACCGAATCTTGCATTTACCCTTTTATATAGATGTATATGATTTCTATGACTGACTTGTTGCACTCTTTTTCGCTCTATTGCCCGTGTACTTGAATATTCTAAACCCAATTGACCTTGTAATCCTTTCTATGCGCTTCATCATTGCAGCTCTCAGATTTTCCCTCCCCCTTCCTCCGGCCATGTCTAATTTTTCTTGTATCCCCTCCTCTTGCGCCAATCCTCGACGCCCTTTTCAACCTCTGCCCACGTCAAGCCGTCCCGGATTAACCGCATCGTGACGCCCAACTTTTCCGTCTCCATGTTTCTGCTCTCATCATCAAAAAACAGCATATCCTCATACGCAATGCCCGTGCGCTTCTGCAGCGTCTCAAAGTGTCGAATCTTGCTCCCCGGATAAATCTCCGTGCCCGCGTCAAACGCATCCCCGGCTCTCCGCGCCTTTTGCTGTCCTTCGACCGCGGGGAGGTGCAGCATCTTGAGCAAATCCCGCGCGACGCCGACGGCTGATGTGCGAGACGCTACGCCAAGCTTGATTGGGGCGGTAGTGGTGGTAGATGCAGAGCCGGCGACGCGGGGCAGGAGCTGGAGGATTAAGGGCACGTCTTGGTAAAAGGCAAAGTCCTCGCCGTAGCGGTCGGTGGCGGCGGTGTGCGCAGCGTTGGCCTTGAGGGGGGGCGTGACGTGCGTGTCCACCCAGTAGGGCCACAGCGTGTAGTCGAGGTCAAAGACGATGAGGCGCGGCAGGGGCAGGTCAGGGTCGGTGAGGGACGCGGGGACGACGCTGCTTAGCTCGGCGGCGGAGGAGGTTGATGTGGTGGATGCCGAGGTGCCGGTGCGGGAGAGCTTGCCCATCTTGACGGGGTTTGCTGTGTGGAGGGGATGACGTGCAGGAGGGAATGAGGGTGGGCTGAAGGAGGAGAAGTCTAGAAGGTGTGTGGGTTGAGGATGAGTGGTTGAGAAGTTGTGAAAAGGGCCGCTTATCAAGCGCGTCATGAAGCATTGAGTCCATCTCCACATGGTGCAGGGTAGCTCAAATCTCGATGAATCTTCTTGGGGTGTCGTCGAGGCGGATCATGGGTGGCGGCGATGCCTAAAATTTGACAAGGAAAAAAAAAAGAAGAAAGAAATGGGACTAAAGAGCTAGCAACAAATCAGCATCGAGGCAGACATGGCTCTGACCAATACAGACGTATGTTGTAGCCGAGTACTATGCGCGACATCCTTTACTATTCATGTTAGGCTCGTTGGACTTGGAGATACAGTCAGATAAGGCATTGTGTCTTTTGCACATGTGTAAGATTTGACGAAAACACAACGACGTTCGAAATAAGTTGGTATTTATCATATTCTTCCATCTGTATTTTTTTTTCCATTTTTCCATTTTTTTTTTAAAAAAGGCTTTCAGCCAAGAGAACACCTCCCACCTACCGGTAAGCATTCGCCATGCTTATCAGGGGCCTGATGCCAAGTTCCAAGTATACTGTTGCAAACCACTCACACCACTCTGTACGGACAAAAGGGTTTCACAAGCACCGTATTAACAAACAGAAATTGATCTTCACTACCTCGTGACCACATTCTTATTTTTCCTTGGAAAAATACGTGGTGCCATGACGTCTGCCACGCCCAAACGACGACTTTTGCCCGTTTTATCTCCACTTGAGCGAGATCGTCACGCTTTTGGGGCCTCTGGGGCTTCTTCACGTAAAAATAAACTTTGATCAGCAAAAAGCGATTCATGCTTCTAGGACCGTTTTCACCGCCGTTTTGCGGCACTGTGAGAAGAAGAAAGAAAACATGGTCGATCAAGACGAGCAAAGAACAAAACTACCACGCAAAAGACGTTTGCTTATCCGGGACAGCGAATCTTGTTTAATCAAGTTTGTATGCATTAGACCGTGGGCTTGTGCGTAGTAGGATCGACAAGATTTCATCGGGGCTCGGTAATATGCGCCGATGAGCTCGGATAGATTGTCTGGGATGGGAAAGAAAACCACCCTCCAAGTTTCATTGGGCGACCTTGACAAAGTAAATGAAGGAAAAAAGCAAAAAAAAGCAAAAAAAGAAGAAAAGAATTGCCGACGCAAAGAGAGAGAGAGAGAAAATGCCGGCAAATCGACAATACTAGGGTTACTGCACAGCATGGTCACAAACTACAAAAAAAGCACAAAGCACAGAGATGCATGCATTAGCGGGGCGTCACATCACGCTAAACCCGGAATAAGAATTTATCTCAACCAAAAGATCAGATTACAGCTATCAGCCTATATCTTGCAGAAAAGGAAAAGAAAAGAAAAGAAAAAATCCAGAGGCAAATAGAGAAGCAAGAGTAAAAAAAAAGAAAAGCAGCGTTGCAACCTTTTGTAACCGAGGAAAGCAAAGCATCTTGTTTACCCCTCCCCATTTTTCTCTCCCTCTCAGTCCGCCCCGACATATCTTGTCACGGAAATCGATCGTTGCTTGCGTTTCGTCTCAAAGTCGGGGCGGTTGCTGAACCGAGCTGCACTCATCAATGGTTGTTGTTGCTGTTGTCCATGGCTGGGCGGCTTAGTGGCCGCAGCTGTCGCACTTGCAGCTGTCGCAGGCGCCGGAGCAGTTGCAGGAGGAGCAGTTGCTAGTCTGGTCAGCCGACGACGGTTCTCTTTTTTATGATGATGCGTTTCGTTGGAACTGCATGGGGATTTCTTTGAGCAGGTTGTCGCTTGGGGAAGGGAGGGGGGGGGGGAAGCAACTATAATCCTCGCTCTTTTTGATTCCAAAGGCTCGCCTGTGAGCGAGGGAAGCGTGATTCAAAGACATACCAGGGATCCATTTTGAAGGGTTGAGGTGGGTTTCTTAAAGGTGGTTGTTTTGGTAGTGTGTGTGAGTAGTTGTAATTGTAGGAGTTGTCTGATGAAGAAGCTGGGAGATCAAAAAGACGAGATGATGGCGGGAATGCAGCGTCTTTTATAGACCGAGATGCAGATCAACCCCCCCCCCCCCCTCAGGCCTCTCTTTCTCGCCCACTATCGTCAAACTACACCAATGATACAGCTCCGAAATCAGGCAAGTTCACAAATGATGCATGCCCGCCGGTCGCGTACATGACCCAAGCCGCAGAGCAACGTGTGCCTCCACCTTGAAGCTGCATGTACATGTACCGGCGGGGTAGAGCCTCACACTATTGGACTAAGGCAACTCTCTTTTCCACGGCGGCACCACAGCACCATTCTATTTCGCATACGAGAAACACCTGCTTTTCCCGTCGCCCCCCCGTCTCTCCCCCCTCCCCATCCCCTCTCCAGGTCCCATGGCTCAAAGCTGCTGCTCCTTGCCGAGACGGTATAAGCCCCAAGGTCTCATTCAACCCGCGCCACCGACAGCCCGGCTTGCCTTGTTGGATGCTCGAATCCGTCCTGGGTCACGGGCGAGGCACGACAGTGACGGGGCTCGCCAACTCTGACTAAAAGAACATGGGAATGAAAAAAAGCCTTCACACCCATTCACAGATACCCATTCAGCCCGATAGGCCAAAGGGTGGTCATGAGGAGGGACCTCACGGCGCCAGCCTGACTTCGAGGATCCATCACCTGTGTAACAGGACATGTGGCCGCGGAAGTTTCCAACCGCAAAAAGCTTGGCCAATTTTCCGTCTCCAACACGGTGCTGGCCCCGCAGCATCTCTGACAGCTTGCCCGTCAGGCACAAGAGACTCTGGAAAAGACCAGAGAACGATGTCATGCCTTGATCCATCTCCACAAAGAGCCACTATGGATCTGAGGCTGGAGCAAGGGCCTGGTACCGTGTAAAGGTATGTCCGCCGAGCAGGTTCTGGGCTCATGCATCCTTGAAACGTGGGATGAGGAGAAGGGGAGGGGTAGGGCAAGGTGGTACTGATGGACAAGTAGGCACAGCAAGAACAGGTAGGTACAAGCCGGTACGGAGTAGACCAGAGTAATCGATTTTGCCTGGCATCAGCCCATATGTGATGAACAAGCCCGTCACTTGGCCACGCATCCACCGAGAACGACGCGCCGAGCGACCGGGATACTCGATTTGGAGGGACCCAACCAGATGACCCGACATGAAAGAGACGGGACACAGCAGCAGGGAAAGGGTAGGTGCATGCGGCACTAGTTGGCCGGCTAGCAAGTTGGCAAGGAAAGAAAAAAGGCCTTGGAACGTAGCCAACGACGTCAGCTCCTCATGTGATGATGGGGTTGAAGCCAATGAGAAGCGAGCGGATATCAGGGCAAGTTGAAGAAAAACAACAACAACAACAACTGGTGGGGATAGTGGCGTGGAGAGAGAGGATAAACCTTCCTAACCAAGAACCGAAAGCAAACAATAATGCAACACTAGCCCGCTCAAAGCCTTTTTTCTCTTTTGCCTGCGCTGTTTTTTGCGCGACAGAACATGCCATGGCCGGTGGAGCTTCTGCGGATGATTGGGAGGGAAGCGTGACTTTGACCCAAGCTGGGCATGCAGACAATAGACAAAAAGGGGGAAAAAATAAAAAAAAATAAAAAAAAAGAGGCGTTGGCGGCACAAGCGGTTGCATCCAATATAAAGCCCGCACTAGTCTGCGGGTATGGCCGCACTTGTCCGTGAGTTGTGGACCGTCGAATGAAGATGCGTGCGCGTGTGTGTGATTTGTACTTTGTATATGTGTGTGTGTGTATGTGTGAGTGTGTGTGGGCGGGCGGGCTGATGCGTTGGCAAGGACTGGAATCCAAGGGAGAGGCGAAGAAGCACGCCGAGGCCCGGGCATGTGGTAGGTCGGAAGGGGAAGGAAGAGGAGAAGGAGCGACAGTGATGCCCAACAGCACAGACTTGCATCCCATGTCTCCAACGACGAGGAAATGTACAGCTGAACCAACTTGTGCCACCGCGCTATGCGACGGAGAGACAGGGACAGGAGAGGACATGGATGAAGCAGCTAGAGCCTTGAAGAGAACACAACAAGGCAAGGGAAGATGAAAATGTGACGAAAAAAAAAGAAAAAGAGAACAAGTGTCAGACCGCCCTGTGCGAGGCTGGGCTGGGCAACGGGGGAGGGGGCGAAATCCTCTCAGCTTCGTAACAGCCTCCGCGTACCAAAATAGAAGTAAAGAAAAAGGGGGACGAGGTACGGAAAATTGTGAGGGGAGAAAACTCAACTTCAAGCTGAGAGAGCCGCGAGTTTCGGGGAGTAGTCGAGGTCCCCCCCGACAGCAATGGGCAGCGAGACTCGTCCTTCATTTCGTCGTAGTTGGCAAGAACCCCGTCAACACCTAGGAGCGGAACCGGACTCGAGACAAGCCGAGAATAGTTGTCGACCAAGAACTGAATAGTCGACGTGTTGTCGTTCTTGTTCCGATCCATTCATTGCTGCATCGTGTGTAAGCCTGTGGACGACGCCATGCCACCACACACGTCTCCGGAACCAACGAGCGCTGGCACCATCTTGCCCTTTGCTCAGAGTTCAGGAAGCAGAGAGTAGTGTCCTTGTCCGAGAGAGAGAGAATGAGAAAGAAAAGAAAAAACAGCTCGAGCAGAAAAGTCAAGTCGAGGGGAAAAGGGAGAGAGCTGCATCACGACCTCTTATATATCTACGGCGGCTCTGGGCACCACACTAGAAGAAATGAGAATCTCCATTCCCCCAAAACAATCATGCAACCAATTTCAGACCCCTTTTGCCACGTTTTCCCTTTAATCACTGCCCGTCTTCTCCCACAATATGTCTCTCGATTTGATGCGTGGGAGGGGGAGAGGGAGGGGAGGAGAGAGAGGGGGGGCGTGCACATCACAAAAGCGTGCCATCAAGGTCATTTTTTTGACCATCAAGGTTCGCAACCACGCGGGTAAGCGATGACCGTTGTTGTGCGCCTTGAAAAAGCTGGGGTTGTCATGATTGCAGAAAATGGGGGTGGGTGTGTGTACGTTTGTGTGTGTGTGTGTGTGATAGAGAAATATTACAAGAGAGAGAGAGAGGGGAGAAAAAGGAAATCCGCATTGGTCTGGATACATCGGCCCGTTGCTCAGGCCAGGCGCAAGCGTGTAGAAACATCGCCATACTACACAACCCACAGCACACGAAGACGGTTTCAACTTTCAGGCGAGAGACTAATCTAATCGACTCTCCCATTGGCAGATAAGAAACAAGACGAGCGTGGGGAGACGCTACTTGACGGTCGAATCATACAAGTCACGCTCTACTACGCGCTCTACTACACGCCCTACTACAAGGTTTCTTGACAGGAAAGCGCTTTGCCATTACGCGAAGATACTAAACTAAGCATACCGGAAAACTATTATACTAACATTCAACATCTAGAAAACCTGTCCTTCCACTTCTCACCAATCCTTCCATCGTCGCGCCGCCTCCATCACGCCTATGCAGGCGAAAGAGCAGCCGGCAGCACATCGACACCCAGACGGAACCTCCGCTTGACCGCCTTCCAGCCCTCGATAAGAGCAATGTAGGCAGCCACGCAACCGAAAACCACACCCCACTCCCACGTTAGGCCTTGATGCTTGAACACATGTGTGTTGATAAAGGGGATGTAGATAACGGGAAACGTCACGAGGAACCCAGCAACGACCGACCAGAATAAGAAGCGATTGTGGTACACAGTCTTGAACACGGCAAAAGGACCTGTGAAGCGCTCGTCCATGGCAAACAGGCTGCGTTGGAAATGCTTCACCTCCCAGGCGGTGACCAGGAGAAGGAAGCTCAGGACCGCAAATGTTGTTGCACGGGCCCGAAACACCAGACCACAACCCTGGGCACCGTCCTCGTTGCAGCCATGAGGGAGATCATGGTAGCCATGGCCAGAAGACCCATAAACCACCAGCATAAATGCGGCTAGACACAAGCTTCCCATAAAGGTACCATACATGAGCTGATCGCGGACAAGATCGAGGGTGAAGACACCGGAGCGAAGACTTCGAGGTGGCCGACGTAAAATGTCTCGCTGTGCTTCTTCAAGACCGAGGCCAAGAGCTAGTGGCGACGAAGTAATGAGGTTTGCCCACAGGATTTCCAACGGAGACAAAGGAAAGACGGCGTTACCGCTTGTATCCTTGAATGCGAGACCGATCAAAAGAAGAATAACTTGAGCGAGATTCGAGGTAAGCAAGTGCAACAGAAACTGCACAATATTAGCGAAACGAACTAGCCGAACCCTTACGGGTACGAAACACTTACCTTTTGAATGTTGTCCGCTAGGCGACGGCCTTCTTGGATGCCAGTGACAATGGATGCAAAATTGTCATCCGTGAGGACCATGTCTGATGCCTCCTTGGCAACATCACTGCCTCGATCACCCATGGCGATGCCGACATCAGCTTGCTTAAGAGCTGGGGAGTCGTTGACACCGTCGCCAGTCATGATGCAGAAAGCCTTTCGTCGATGAAGGGCTTGAATAACTCTGACCTTTGTCAGAGGGCTGCACCGAGCAATGACAAGCGGGATGGCATCCAGTGCATCAACTTCATCATCGCTCAGGCTGGCAAATTCAGAAGCTGCCATGACGGTGTTGGGGGGCAAGGGAACTTGGTTCGACAGGATACCGACTTCATAGGCAATAGCAGTTGCAGTCTTGATATGGTCGCCGGTAACCATGTGCACGGAGATGCCTGCTTCACGGCATTGGAGGACTGCTCCCGCAGTCTCTGGCCGAGGAGGGTCGTATAGACCGGCGAGACCGAGAAAACGCAAGCGGGATTCACATTTAGCGCGATCAAGGGCTTCGTCGGGAGAGTTTTCGACCACCTTGTCGGCGACACAGAGCACTCGGAGACCTTCACCGGCGAGCAACTCGGCCTCGGCATGGATAGCAGCTTTGAACTCTTCCGTCTCATCCAGGATTGGAAGCATGACTTCCACGGCTCCTTTGGTGTGGACATGATGAGACTCGTCAAGATCCGTACCATAGACCACACTCATCAGCTTGCACGAGGAGTCGAAAGGGTGCTCAGCAATCAGCTGATCAGCATTGTTGCGAACCTGACCATAACGCATGGCGTAGACTTTTAGAGCAATCTCCGTCGGCTCTCCTACAGCTCGCCATTCAGCTGGTTCAAAAGCAGTTGTGACACTGCTAGTGTCAGTCTCGGGCTCCTTTTTTCCATCAGTGACCGTAGAATTGTTGCATAGATTGATGGTGTTGAGGAAAGCGCCAAAGCAGCTTCCGGCGAGGGAGCCAGACCAGGTAACAGTGCCGCTGCTGGGATCGTAGGGGTCTGATGTAGCTTCTGTAACTCCAGTGAGGCCATCGCGTAGCCAGACCTTACGAGTAATCATGCGACCTTGAGTGAGCGTTCCAGTCTTGTCGGAGCAGATATTGGTGACACCACCAACAGCTTCGAGGGAAGGCATCTGGCGGACAATTACATGACCCTTGACCATGGCCTTGGTGGCAACGGCCATGGTGACAGTGAGAACTGCAAGCAGGGATTCGGGGATTACAGCAACGCCTACACAGATGCCGTAGAGCAAAACATCATTGTTGATGTGCCACTTGCTGACCGAGAAAACGATGACGGCGAGGAGGATGGCTAAAGCAAAAAGCACCAGGGCAAACTTGCTGAGGGTTACCTGCAGTGGGGTTCCCTCAAGGCCAAGAATGTTACGAATGCTTTGGTGGACTTTGTACATTGCCTTCCTCGTCGAGGTCATACCTGCGGTGTCTTTCTTCTTTCGGCGCAAGAGTTCTGCAATTTGTCCGACTTCGGTTTCCATGCCAGTAAAGACGACAATGCCAGTAGCGCGACCACGAGTGACAGAACTACCGGAGAAGACGAGATTGACTCGGTCTCCAACGGCCATGTCGGCATCATCGAAGACAGCGTCAGGCTTCTTGCTGATGGCAACGGATTCGCCCGTCAGATGAGCTTCGTCTGTGGAGAGATTAATGCCTTGGACGAGGCGCAAATCTGCTGGAACGACGTCGCCAGTCACAAGAGAAACCAAGTCTCCTTTGACAAGAGTTTCTGCCTTGACCGTGTCGCTATGACCATCACGAATAACTTTGCATTTTGGAGTGGACAGGGCATACAGGGACTGAATAGTCTGCTCGGCACGGTAATCTTGAACAAGACTGCACATGTTAGAGAGACAGACAATAATGAGATTGGGCTTTACTCACCCGACGACAATGTTCAGCACAATAACTGCGACGACGACGCCTGCCTCGATAAAGTCACTAATTGCAAAGGACAAGGCGGCGACGGCAATGAGGACCACAGTGAGGGCATTGGCGACCTGCTGCAGGAAGATTTCCCAAATGGAAAGCCCCTTGGCACCTTTGATGGTATTGGAGCCGTCCCGCGCAAGGCGGTCGGCAGCCTCTTCGGTAGTCAAACCATCGTAGAGGTCAGTGCCGAGGAATTCGGCGACTTGCTGCGCTGAGAGGGTATGCGGGCACGTTGGCTTCTCTATAACTACTATGTCCGGGGGCTCCGGTATAGGAGGCTGGTCTTCCTGGCTTGGAGGGGGCGACGAGTCCGAGGTGACGTGACCGGTGTTTGTTTCACCATTCGTAATAACAGCGGCGGTTTCTCCCATCGAATGGCGGTAGTTTTTATGCTAACAAGCAGCAAAACTCTCGATCGAGATAAGGCGAAGGATTTAGTTTTGTAGTTTTTGGGGTGCTTTAAAAGCGAAGCGGCACAGGGAAAGTTGCAGTAGGAGATGGACTTAGTTTCGAGACCGGAACTATTGCTACTTCTGGTGACTTTCGACGAGGCGGAACAGGAAAACGATACGCAAGAGGCAGAAGCCTGATGGGCAATGGTGAAGAAAGAAAAGAACAAGAGGAGTTGGGATGTGTGGGGAGACGGGTTCTTTTGAAGTTCTGGGGATATCCGTGAAGCGCCTAGCAAGGTACACACACATGTACTAGCTACTCAGCAGTTCTTTAGTTACTCGGTACCAGCTTGGCAGGCAGGAAGTTGTACAGCCATAGTTGCATGGGTGGCCTGTACGTCACCCAGTTAGGTCACGGACAGGTGTTGGTGGCGGGGTTTGATTCAGTGGAGATTCATTGTGTGATTCGGGCATCTTTTTAGTGTCCCAATCGCTTGAAGTGCGGGGACGACACTGAACGCTGTGTCTAGGCCTTAACAAAGGATACCTGAGTACCAACAGCCGGGTAAGCCCCCTCTTTGGTTGCCAGCTGGCGGTCAACGGCCAGCCAGCCGACAGATGAAGCCATCAGACCGGCAAGACGGCTTCTGCAAACGCCGGCTTGCTTCTCTCCGACATCACCACCATCACACAATATTTCCGTGCAACCTCCGCTACCCAGCATAATATTGACACAGGGGAATGTCAAGATTAGGTTGGCCAACAATTTACCTACTGGGTCTCCGTGCCACTAGCCGCTCCCCGCCGTCAGCGACCCAGCAATGTGGATGCATCAGAGCTGCGCCTTAATGCAACAGCTTTGCAGAATGCAGTTAATGCGGTTTAAATATGAACATAGAACGTTTTGGGATAATAGTGACACGTGGTGCGTCTACCCTGAGCTACCACGTCAACACTGTGTCCTAACAATTGAAATAGAGAGGCACGTTTGACGTCTTGTGTAGCGTAGCAGGATACCCTCGATTCTCAGGTTTGCCTCGATTACAGTGGTTTCGAATCATTGCGCCAGAACAACCGCCGACTATTTTACCGAGACGGTCACGCGGGCTTGATTGTCGAATCTGTTTGCGATTCTGGCGACACGAGGCGGGCAAGCGGCCGAGCGGACAAGCGGGACACCTTGCTGGAGTCTCACTAGGTACGCAATGCAGGCGCGCATCGTAGAATCCGTTGAATCACGCGGAAGCAGCCTTTCAGTACAACTCCGAGGGCAAGGCAAAACAATTCGCTGTCAATGCCAAGAATGTAGGTGCTTACAGTCCACACAACGCACACTACACTGCCTTGTTCTAAAGTTAGTGAAAGGGAAGTTAAGCTCTTGCCAAGAGAACTAGCACTGTGTGGATAGTGCAAGTCTTGAGAACAGCAAGCTTCCTCTTTGGCCGCCACACTTTTTGCGCATGTCCAATCGCGCACGACTTCGCAGCTTTGGAGATATGCTACTATGTCCACCATGGCCGGGCAGCCAATTGTCGACATCGCCAAGCACAGCCACACTCCACTAAGAACGGCCACCTGCCTAGTATGTCTGGAATAATGAGGGAGTGACGATGCGATTCAGCTTCGCAATGCAGAAGATAAGTATACCAAGAAATGATCTGCACCATACAGCATTGGCATGTTACGTATGTACCACACGGTTGCAAAGAGACTGTATGCTGAAGTCAAGGCTAAAGTAGTATGTACTTTGTTTCAAATGTATATCTAAAATCTACCCCCATTTTTAAGTTTCACATGAAGCAAAAAACCACCTCGTCCAGGTGTTGCAGATCCGAAAACGCCATACCTCTAAGCTACATGCAGCAATGGAAATGTTTCAAAACCATTTGAACAAGTAGTTGAGTCCAAAAGACCAGCGACGAACGCGGACCGTGTAAATGAAGAAGTAAACCAGAGCCCAGTTGCTAATGCAAAAGGCCAAGAAGATGCCAAAGTCACGCCATTTCTGACTGGGCTCAATGTGAAGCGAAGCCAAGTACTGGGTACCGTCGGCATAGGGACAGTAGCCGCACATGTCGGTAGCATTCGGGTCGATCAGGTAGCCCCGGCCGGCCTCGGCGATGAAGTCGTTGGCAAACTCGGCGCAGGTCTGGCCAGAGGGCGGCCGAAAGTGGGCGGCCTCGCTGTCGGCGCAGCGGACCTCTTGGTGGGCGAGGGTGCTCGAGAGCACGCCGCCGACATAGTACGTGGACGGGTTGACATAGTACATCCAGTAGCGCCAAAAGACGGCGAGCTGCTGGTAGGGCACAAAGACGCCGTTGAAGACGGAGAACATGACGAGGAAGAAGGGCAGGACGTTGCTGATGACGGTAAAGGACGGCGCAAAGGCGCAGATCCACTGCGCCCAGCTGGTCTGGAACAGGAAGAAGAGGAGCGTCATGAAGAAGACGAAGCCCGAGGTGCTGCTTTCGGTGGGCAGGCCGGTGGCAAAGTACCAGAGCACCCAGTACAGCACGGCCGAGATGACGGCGCTGGGAATCTCGGAGAGGATGGACGCGGAGCAAAAGGCGACCCAGCCGTAGATGCGGGAAGGGTACTCGCGGGCCTCCCAGAGGGCGCGGTCCATGAAGAACTTGGGCAGGACGGCGTTCATGGTGGCGGGCAGGAAGAGGAGGACGAGAAAGGACGTGAACATGCGGCTCTGCATGTCCTGGACCGTGTTGCCGAGCTGCCAAAACGTGAAGCCGTTGAAGATGCCAATGAGAACGGCGACAAAGAACTTGCCGTAGACGTACGAGGGCTGGCGCCACTGCTTGATAAACATGCGCTTGGTGAGGAGCATCGTCTGCTCGTATGCCGAGGCGGCAAACTCATCCTCCCTGGCCGCGCCACCATCCTCGTGCCGCAGCTGAGCCGCCGCCGCGCCGCGGTCGCGCTTGATGCGCTGAATCTCCTCGGTCAGCGTCTTATTCTCGTCCGACTGGAGCCACTGCTCGTTCCAGAACTGGCGGTCGGCGGGCTTGGCGCCCTGCTCAATCAGAAACTCGGCCACGTTCTTGCCCTCGGGACACTGGGAGCCGCGGGTGGCAAAGTAGTCGACGACGGCGCTGCCGTTTTCGCCGACGGGGCCAAAGTAAAAGACGTTGCCGCCGGGGTTGAGCGCCAGAATCTGGTCAAACTGCTCAATGAGCTCCGACGAGGGCTGGTGGATGGTGCAGATGATGGCCTGGCCCGCGGCGCAGAGCTTGCGCAGGAAGCGGATAATGGAAAAGGCCGACTGGGAGTCGAGCCCGGACGTGGGCTCGTCGAGGAAGAGCAGCAGCGACGGCTTGGCGGCGAGCTCGACGCCAATGGTCAGCCGCTTCTTCTGCTCGACGCCGAGGGAGAAGACAATGGCGTCCTCGATGGGCTGCATCTCGAGCAGGTCGATAATCTTGTCGACGTAGGCAATCTTGTCCTCGCGCGGCGTGTCCCGGCTCTGGCGGAGGAGCGCGGAGAACTCGAGCGCCTCGCGGACCGTGGTGGACTCTTCGTGCAGGTCCATCTGCTCGACGAAGCCGGTGCCGCGCTGAAAGTCGGTGGGCAGGGCGGTGCCGTCGACGAGCATGCTGCCTTCCACGACGCCGACGGTCTGGCGCTGGGAGAGCGTGTTGAGGAGCGTGGTCTTGCCGGCGCCGGACGCACCCATGAGGGCCACCATGACGCCGGGCTTGGCGTAACCTTGCACGTTGTTGAGCAGCTTCTTGGGACCATCGGCGCTGGGGACGGTGTAGTTGACATTTTCCCAAGTGAAAATCTTTTCGCTGCGCTGAAACTCTTGCAGAATCTCGTCGGGGGTGGTGACTTGGCGCTGGAGTGTGTCACTGCCTTGGGTTTCCTTCTTACCAGACTCTTCGTCGGCGGCCTTGGTGCTCTTTGCGGCAGCGGCACCGGCCTTGGACTTTTTGAAGATGAGGATGCCCATACCAGAAGTGGCAAAGGACAGAGTCTCAGTGGCCAGGACAGTGACGAGAATGTACAGAACAGAAAATGCAATCAGGACGGCCCAGTTGCGCCAGAGGTTGGAGCGGTGGTAGTCGTAGTTGGCGTTGAGGTAGTCGGCACCGTTGACCGTGGTGGCCCCAGCGGCTGAGCCGGGAACAGCACAACCCTGGTTCTCGGGCATGATGCCGGGACCTTGGGGTACAAGCTGGCTGGGGGCGCACTGCATGTTGCGGCTAGACAGTTCGTTGGAAATGACACCTTCAAAGGAATACGACACGGGGTTGATCCAGTAGAACCAACCGAACCAAATCTTTTTGCCTAGAAGCGTGGGCTTGCTGATGGCATAACCAGTGAAGATGAGAAGCAGATTGAAAGTAATGCCGGAAAAGCGGACAGCATCGTCAATGGAGGGGCTGATGGCGGCAAACATGCGGTACAGGGCCGTGATGCAGATGGTTGTTGTGTAAATGTACAGCAGGTAGATGAAGAACTTGCCGGCGTCGAGGTCAAGGTTGCACATAAAGTACAGGATGAGGCCAAAGACGACGACCTGAACAAGCAGGAGCGGAAAGTCGGCGAGGATGCGGGCAAAGTTGACGGCCGAGGGGCGGTAAAAGGCGTACTCTTTGTGGCGCTCAATGACGTCGCGGCCGGCAATGGCGCGGATGAGCTCCGACAGCTGAAGCCAGCCGAGGAAGAGGATGGAGAAGAAGGCGGCGCCGCCGCGCAAAAAGAGTCCCGAGGTGTCGTCGGGGATGTCGTAAAAGAGCGAGCCGACAATGAGGCCCATGCTGATGATGATGGCAAACTTTGTGTAGAGCGTCTGCTTGTCGCCCCAGAGCAGCCAGAACTCGCGGCGGGTGCAGGCGAGCACCTGGCGCCAGTAGCTGACGGTGTAGTTGGAGCGCTGCAGGACGGTGCGCGACTTGGCCTCGTGGACCGACTGCTGAAAGGTCTCGGCGTCGGCGTGGCTCGTGGCGGCGAGGTGGCGCTCGTAGTCGGCAACGTCGGCGAGGACGCGCTGGTAGGCGTCGCTCGCGAGGAACGCGGCCTCGAGCTCGGCGGGCGTCTTGGGGCAGCGGGCCTCGAAGCCGTCGCGGAAGCGGCGCGCGTTGACGTCGCAGACGGACGTGAGAAAGTCGGCCGTGGTCTGGCGCGGGGGCGCAAAGAAGCCGAGATTGACAAAATACTGGCGGGCGTCGGCCGCGGGGCCCTGGTACAGCATGCGGCCCGAGTCAATGACGAGCACCTTGTCCATGAGCTCGTAGATGCCCTCGCCGGCCTGGTACAGCGTCGTGAGCGTGGTGCGGTCCGAGACGTCGGTCATGACGCGCAGCGACCGCGCATAGTTGAGCGCCGTCGAGGCGTCGAGCCCGCGCGTCGAGTTGTCCCAGCAGGTGACGGTCGACTTTGTCGCGAGCGTCTCGGCAATGGACACGCGCTTGCGCTCGCCGCCCGACACGCCGCGGGTGTACTCGTCGCCGACGTTTGTGTTCTTCGTGTGGGAAATGGCAAACATTTTGAGAAAGGCGTCGACGACGAGGCCGATGCTGCCGCTGTCGGCCTTTTTCGTCTTGGTGCGCAGCGAAAAGTCGAGCGTCTGCCCGACGGTGAGCGAGGGCAGGTGGCGGTCGTTTTCCGGGTTGTAGACAACCTCGCCGCGGTAGCGACGGTCCATCTCCTTGGCGTCGATGCCGCCGTAGCGCACGTCGCCCTCGACGGCAATGTAGCCCCCGCGATTGTTGGCAATGGCCTTGAGAAAGGTGGTGCAGCCGGCGCCGGGGCGGCCGAGCACGAGCATCATCTCGCCGGGGCGGACGACGCCGGTAAAGTCGTGAATCAGGTCGCGGATCTCGGGCCCGCCCTTGGAGAAGCTGAGCGCCGGGATGAGCTTGGTCAGGTGGCCATAGAGATCCGGGCCAAAGGTGCCGAGGATGGCCTGGGGCAGGGTGCGGACCGTCATGGCGGTCAGGGCCGCGCCCTTGACGGTGAGGTTCTTGAAGACGACACCGACCTTCTTCGTCGACTCGCCGCTCTCCGGGTGTCGCTTCTCCAGGTGGCCCTGGCGCATGAACTCGTCGAGCTGGAAGTCCTCGTCCTGGCGCTTTGTCGCCTGGCTGTCGGCCTCGACGTCGGCCTCCCGCTTGGGTTTGCGTAGCGCCGAGAGCAGACCGCCGTGGTGGTCGCCGGCCGCGTGGCTCTTGGTCTTGGGGGTGCCGGAAGCGTTGCTCGCGCGACGGCTGAGTTCTCGTTGGAGGTCATTGTAGTCCTGGCGGGCAGAATGACGACGGACGGGGCCGCCAGCGTCGGCATCACCCCAGTAGCCCTCGACGGAGGCATCGCTCGAGGAGATTTCGGCTGGTGAAGATGGCCTAATGGTGGCTTGGGTGCCGGTGGTTGTGGTTGTCGTGTCGTTGCTGGTGGCTTCGACGGCGGCCGTCGTCGGCGCCGTCTGCTGCTCTTCAGCAGCCATGTTGGAGCGATGTATTGCTATTTGACTTTACTATTCCTGTGTAGGTTTCAAAAGAAATCCGGGTTCTTTTGGAATTCAAGTCGCGTTTGGACGTCGACGAGTCCGTGGTGGGCGTTTGCATTGCATTCAAGTGTAGTCAAGGTGGGACAACAACCTTTTTATATGGATGGGATTCTGGCAGCTCGACTGACTAGGTAAGAGCCAATTGTGGCTTCTGCAGGGTCGGCTCCGTTTCAACATTTTTTTCCTCGTACTCTTCGGAGCCGTGGAATTCTTGTGTCATGACGCACCGCCTTTCTTGGTCCACAAGGTTGGTGGTTCCACTGACAACAGAGCCAATGAGTGCCATCTTGCACAGTGTGCTTGGAGATTGGATTTCTAATCTCCGGGGTGTGTATGTCGAAAAATTGGTCAATGCAGTTAGCTCATTTATTTTATTTGCTATCTATTATTGCGATTTATTCTAGTCTGAACCTGTTCCTTGATGCGGATTTGTTTGGAGTTTCGAGCATGCATACTGTGGAGACAAGGCCAGATACCATGCGGAGTACACCCAACAACCTGCGCATGCGCGGAGACTTCCATTTAACCCCTTGCGAATACTTTTTTCTCGCCCTCGGAATTAATAATTACATGCGTGCTCTTGAGCGCATTTTCTCGCATCCTCGTCTGTGAAACCTCATCTTTGAGGCTTTGTCTCGGCCGCGCAGCTGCCACGTTTGCTCGTCGTTATCGCGGCCACGCCGGGTCACACCCGGTCTGAATCTGCCCAACCAACCCAACTCTGTAAAACGGCCCTTGCTGATGTCGAATGATTCATTGTGGGGAACCTTCTCAGACGGTCGCTCCTCTGGCGCACGCTAGGCCCGGGGATAAAGCTACCGACCGCCCTGGAAAGCTATGCCCTTGTGAAAGGGGGTGGAAGCAGCGCTACCCACGGATAACCGTGCTTTATTAAATCTCTGATGGTAAATGAACTCATCCGGCCAAGAGTCACACTCGAGGCTATATGAAAGTATCAAGAGGACTTGCTGGACACTGATATTTACGAAACTTGCATGGATCAGCGTGCACTGGAGACTTGCAGCCGAGTCTGCGCCCCCCAGAAAGCTCTTGGGCCCTCTTGAGTTGAGCAAGTTTTGTCTTTTTTAGTGCTTCAAAGGAGGGTATATTACGCCTGCCAAGTACATTGGCATTCACTTCTCGGATCTTACTACATGTAAATAAGACGATGGCGCTACCACCTTGCGCAGCCTTGGAGCTGAATAAGTCCGTCAGCAGAATCTGAGACCTGCTCAGTATGTATGAGTGAATCTTGGGGTTTGTGTTTTGATTTCAAATCAATCCGAGGGGGGGTGAGCCGTGAAATCTTAGAACAAGGGGGAAGATATGGGCCGTTGCACGTTCACCCATCACTCTGCCAGTAGCTCCGCCGTGGCGCTCGGAAAAAGGCAACTAATTTCACGTATTTATCAGCAGTGTTGCTTTGGTTTTGTTTTATTTAGCTTCTTTTGTTCAAGTCCGCCTTGCAACTGCTGCTATCGTTGTCACAGGCATGAACCTAAATGACGTAAGTCCGCCGCCGTCAAACGCTTGAGAAAGCTTAACTAAGTCTGTACCGCAATATTGGGACCAAGTATCAAGTGGGCTTAATTAGCCCCATTTTACATTAACCCCAACGCAACCCTTTACGGTTTGAACGTCCCTCTGGAGCCTCGCCGGCGATAAAAAGTGCACATGCAATCACCAATTATTATTAGTGGACCTGCTGAATTCTCAAGAGTATGCCGGCAAATACAGAGTATGACTCCTCGCCTTGGCGGGGGCTTCCCGTTGAGAACCGTGAAGGGTTGTTACACTGCGTCCCCATGGCTGAGTGGCTGGCCGACTGCATCGAGCTGCAACGGCTGAGCCGGCCAATTGAATTGATTCGAGTGATGGCTTGTATGCACACGGCTGACCTGGTCAATCAAAAAATCTACTTTAGTGATGGGCTTGTCAGAAAATATGCACACGGCTGACATGAGACCCGCCGCGGCGATGATGTTTGATGTTTGTCACGGACTTGGGCTGCCCCAAAAACTCATTGTTGAATATTTATGAGCATTGAGTACTAAATGTTAGCCCGCCTCCCATGGGTTTTTGACAGCGGGCACCGAGTGCGCCACGGCGTTGGTGCAGAATTTGATGGTCTAGACCGGCGATAGGCGTTAAGCCCGCACACTGATCTTCGGAGACGTGCCCGCGCGGCCCGCGTCGCGCACGCACCCAGATGGGTGGTCGCAATGTGAATGGCGAAAGGGATGGGATGGCTTGCAGCATACTATTTGTCGTTTTTTTTCGCATCGCGGGCGGACATGCGTGTAGAGATGCCCAGGCGTTAGTTTTGCAGTGCCCACGAGCCACGAACTGCCGGGGTGAATCACTCGGCGACGTTGCTGGACGGCGGCCTACCCGAGTATGCAGGATTCAGAGTAGGAATTGGACATGAGCCTGGAGACAAAAAAGCCTGCGTCTGATTTCGTCGCTGACCTGTCTTTATATTCAGAGCGAGGAGATTGCCAAGGACAAACCACGAATAGCCGACTAGACGACTGCCAAGTACAAACCACGATAAACAACTCGACAATTGTCAAGTACAAACCACGATAAACAACTCGAAAATAGAAGAATTTAGCACACCAGAGTCGCACTACGCGTCGAACAATGTATGCCGACCCGAGCAGGGCAGCTTGTTCTTATTTTCTTCGCTTGCCCTGAGATCTCGCCAAAGTATCAAGCCAGCCTTCTACGAATGGCCAATGCTTCTTACCGTCGTCGTCAATATAGTTTTCCCCCCACCACGACAGCTCCGTGAGCCCGGCCCGGCGGTTTGCGCGGATTCCCACATGCCCGGCCACCGCCGACGCCGCCGCAAGCGGGCCTGTGTCCGGTGGTGGTGGTGGTGGGAGCGGGCGTTGTCGCTCGGTGTCGTAGCCGGTGAACAGGCGCAGACGGCCCGTAGAGTTGCGCAATGGTCGTTTGGAACAGACTAAAACAGGTGGCCGTAGTCTTGTGCGCCGTCGTCTCGGTGCCAAGTCGAGCTCGACGCAGGGGCCGGGCAGAAAGCGCGCGCGGCGACACGCAGCATGGAAGGGCCGTAGGCACAGCGTAGTCAATGATTCACGAGATCTCATCGGCGTGCCACGGCAGGAAATCCTGCGCGGCCAGCATGACACGAGCGGACTCGTATGATGCGCATGATGTTGGTGCAAAGCATGGAGTTTGCGATGGACACTTTGTGGCAGTGAGATGCGGCACATTCATCCTGAAAAGGTGACGAGAGAATTACAATAAAAGACTCAAAATACAATAACCAAATTGTATCGGAATTACTGGAAATTATGCTATTAAGTAAGTGTAAAGTTTTTAAACAGACATCGCTTTGACATCATGGCTTCATAAGCACACCTGAAACAAAAAAAATCGCTTCGTCTCTCCCGTCTCGCGGCTCCTTTTGCCGTCTTTCCGCTCTACTGGTCAAACTCGCCCGCGTACAAGACGTCGCCCGGCTCGCCATTCATCTCGTCCCACACCGCGCGCGCCTCCTCGTGCACGCTGCGGCTGCTGAGGCGCCGCTCGAGGGCGCCGCTGCTGGTGGTGGTGCCGTTGAGGTTCGCCAGCAGCTTGGCCACGTCCTCGCGCTCGAGCTGCACGTGCAGGTAGACGGCGGTGCGCTTGCCGCTAAAGAGCGAAAAGGGAATGTTGGTGGCGCCGGCGTTGTTGGCGTCGCCGATGGCGTAGACGCCAGGCACGCTGGTGACGTAGCCCTGGGACCCGTTGACGGCAATCTTGGCGCCGTCGAGCTTGGCGCCGATGGAGGCCGGCAGCGTCGAGGCCTGGTCGGTGGGCACGTTGATGATGAAGGCGTTGCGGAGGACGGGCTCGCCCGAGTCAAAGTGCACGCGGAAGAGGTCGTGCTCTGGGTAGGTGGGCAGGCTGGGGTCGGCCGACGGGTCGGCGCCGTCGCGCAGACGCTCAATCCGCGTCATGACGCGGTCCTCGATGGGCACGTTTTTGGCCTTGAGATAGTCGCGCCACTGCGGGAAGCTTTTTTCCGTGGCGTCGAGCATGGTCTGGTTGGCGGCGGTGCCGTTGGTAAAGGCGACAACGTCCGTGTTGAGCGTCGCGACCTCGCGCAGGGTGCCGGGGACGGCGCTCACGGGGCCGACGATGCCGAGGGCCTGGTCGGCGTGCTCGTGGCCGTCGCACCAGGGGCACCAGTAGATGCCCTTGCCAAAGTTTTCCTTGAGGCCCGGCGTGCCGGGGATGAGGTCGGTGATGCCGGTGCCGAGAATGACCTTGCGGGCCGTGTAAGTGATTTCGTGGCCGCCCGTGTAGTTGCCCGTGACGGTGAAGTAGGTGTTGTTGCGCTCGGGCTGGATCTCGGTTATAGTGCCGTTGGTCATGGTGACGGTGCCGTAGTTGCCGATGGACTTGCGAGCCACCCAGCGGTAGTAGGCCGGCTGCCAGCCTGGGAGACGAGAGGGGGTGTCAGTAACCGGGGGAGCAAAGGGGACTTGTGAAGGGGGGAATGAATCTAGGGAGAGGAGAAAGAAGGAAGCAGCAGCATACCGTCGTTGCCGGGCACGTCGTGCATATGGCGGGTAGCAGCATTGCGGTACTCGCCCGAGTCGACGAGAAGAACGTTGCGGCGCACACGGGCGAGGCCGCTCAGGGCGGCGAGGCCAGAGGGACCACCGCCGACGATGATGGCATCATAGTCGATGCGGGGAGGAGCATCACTGTTGCTGTTGCTGTCGTCCTTGGAGACGGGCGCAGCAAGCGAAAGCAGCGGCAGAGCTGCTGCGACGAGGGCGGAGCGAAACCACATGGTAAGCTGTGTAGAGATGTGGCGTCCGTTTGTGGATGTTGTGTTTGCAGCACACTATCGGGATCGGCGATGATGCTCGGTTTAGCTACTACAGCAACTGCTCCTACAGCAAGAGACGAGAGAAGTATGAGAAGAAGAGAGTTAGAGCATCAATTGAGACATGTAGCATTCTTTTTATACTCGAACATTTCAAATTTCCCACCCCTCCTCGTCCAACTAGTCTGGCCAGGACCCCATGGGTAAGCTCGGCAAACGAAGACGAAGATGGCAAGATCGGCCAATCGCAATGCAACCCTGGGCAAGCAATAATGCTGAACTACGGATCGAGGTGCATGATATACTGGTGCTACTATTACGCTCAATGGGCTGCGCCATCTTTCCTTCTCCATTCTCGTATTACTATTTGCGCGGCACCGAGGGCCTGGCGTTGGAGAAGAGCTCACTCTCTCAATGTGCGCCGTCAAGGTCATCTACCTACTTTTTAGCGGAGCGCCCTACGGTGGCTCGGTGGGTAGCTTGGCGGGGGGAGGGGGGGGATGGGATCTTCCGGCAGCGGCGCCGTTAATCTCCTCGGGAAAAGATGCCAGACTCAATATCGTCTGCATAACGCTGCGGCGAAGTAGGATAGTTGGGCAGAAGCACTGAAATGGTCATGGCAAAGAAAGAAGAAACAATATATCGAAAATAAAAAAACGCCGTGGCGTTTGCTGCAAGCAAGAACAACGGCAAAACGGGCAGCGCAACGATGCACAATGACGCACTCCACTCACTCTGCAAGCTCGCGCCATCTCGCAAAGCGTCACATCGCGCGCCCCGTTTTGCCCAAAAACCCAAGCTGTCAGCCTGTCACTGATTAAAAAACTGGGCAGCAAACAAGGCAAAAAAAAAAAAAAGTTTTTGTTGGACAAGAAAAAAGAAAAGAGGTTCCAAGACAAGAATGGAAAAGCCAAGAAAAAAAATATGCGCTCAATTGCTGCCTGCATAAAGGACTCGGATCGCTTGGTTCGGCCAAGCCCGTACAACCTCGTATGGGCTGAGCTGAGCCCAGCTTCCTTCTATTTAGTTTTCCGCAACAAAACCGCTATTGGACTCCCCGCCGCCGTCTTTGGCCTATTGGCCTATTGGCCTATTGCCGATTGCCGGCTGCGATGTCCGTCAAAACTATATATCACGCCGGAGCGGGAGGTATAATACGGTGAGAAAACTGTTTCCACTGCGGGGACCCCTCCCCCCAGCCTCGACGAGGGTCACGAGGGTAGCTCGCCAAGACTGTTTCAGCCGGCGACGCAATAGTTGACGCATGCGTACCTGACCAAGACACATTCTCACTGTCAAGATTTATTAGAGTCTTGTTAGATTTTTGGGTAACTGGCAGTTCCTTACCGAACCCAATCTCAGCCTAGTAGATTGATAAACGGCTCCGGCCACCGTCCCCACACCAGCGGCCGGTCACCCAGCCGCCCGCTCACCGGCGCCAACATCCGCATCTTGCGCTTCGTCTCATCCACGTCGGAAACGTACACAAAGCCCATGACGGCCGCCGCCCGGATCGTCTCGACCGAGTCTCTGACTGACGCGTGCATAATCGCCAGCGTCCAGTGCTCCATCGACGAGCACGCCTCTTCCCTCACCAGCGTGTCCGTTTCGTAGTCGGAGTCTGGAGGGGAGTGGGACATGTTAGCATAGAGTGCAGAGTGTTCAAAAGGGGAGGAGTAGGAAGGGGGGCATCGTACAATCTGGTAATCTGTAAATAACGAGGCTGTCGAAATCGACCTGCTGAATCTGCGGACTCAGCGTCCGCCGCGCGTCCCCGAAAAAGTACTCCTTAATGACAGCCTCGCGGATGTGCTCCGTAAATGAGTCGTCCCTGTCCACCACGCCGTCTGATTTTTCCAGTGTAATGACCTGGACCGGCTCGCCCAGACTCGTCTTTTCCGTCGCAAAGCGCTTCGTAATCTCGGCATTTAGCCCGCTCCGACCCAGAATCACCACAATGTTTACTGTTTTTCGCTGTTAGCGAGTACTCTCGGATATTACACCAACCGGGCCACTCCTCGCCCACAGCCCACGCACCTGATAACTCGTCCACAGTGTGTGCCAGTAGCTCCAGCCCCCGCGCGCTGCCCGCATCAACGCCCATCGAGTCCACCAGAACGCCCGCCGCCTTGACGTCGGGGTCCTCACTTAGCTTGGCGCTCACCCCATCCGCCAGCCTCCCAAGCAGCCTCTTGTACACCTCTGGATCCGCTTCGGCCGACTCGCGCCCGTAATAGTACACCAGCGGCAGCTTCACCGGCACCGTGCTCGGCCCGCTCGTCGGCGTGCCGCCCCAGCCGTCCGCCGCCAGCGGATCCATGACCGTCGCGAAGACGGCCGCGCTCAGCGTCCCCGCCAGGCTCAGCATGCCCTCTCCCGGGTTCGCGTTGACTACCAGTGGCTGCGCGCCCTGCCGCGTTGCGTAGCTCGCCAGCGTCCGCGCCAGCGTCGTCTTGCCAGTCGCCCTCCCGCCCGCCACCAGCACCCGCGGGCCCTCGCGCCCGAAACGCGCCGCTACCCCGCGCATCTCGGCCAGCTGCGCGTGCAGATTCAGATGCGACGCCGCCGGGTTCTCGATCGTCGTGGCAAAGGAGGCGGTCGTGTCGTGCTCGGTCCGCCCGTCCACCTCGATATCGCACCCGTGCCAAGTCAGTAGCTTGCCGTGCACAGGGCCGCAGAACTTGTAGGCGCCTCGCGGCGCGAGCTCGATGCCGTCCTTTTCTGCCGTGCCTGAGAGTAGCTTGACGCTGATGGAGCCGCCGGGCGCGAGGTGAAAGCGCCACTCGCAGGCTTTGCGGAGCGAGACGATGCGCGTCGTGGATTCGACATGCTGGCAGGTAGGTCAGCTTGCTGGTTGACCGAAGAGGATGGCAGCTGGGAAAAAGAGCAAACGAGCGCAAAGTCTGACTTTTCGAAATCCAGGACTAGCTTACCGGCGCAGGAATTTGCCCCAAACCTGGAATTGACATGCTGGGCTACATTGAATTTTCAAGTGTGTATGGAGGAAGCTCAGTCCACGATGCAAGCTTGGAGGGGCAACTAGCAGAGGTACCTAGTAGTGGGTCAGCACGTCTGCGTATGACACTAGGTACCAAACGATGATTAGAAAAGAAGGAAGCCACGATGAATAATAATAGGGCTTGGATAAAATAAAAAGCAATGATAGTATTGATTCGTAACGCCATTGATGCGTTGCCGCATAGCTACTCTTGCAGCAAGTGATGTATAGCTCTTGATCTATATGAATGTCTTAGGCCCAACCAACAACGCCGCGCATAATGCAGTCTATCAGAGGAGACGGCTGAGAAATGAGAACCTCAGACTGTTTCAAATTGCAGACAGCCACCCCTTCTACTTCGAAAGCTCCTCAAAAATTTTCTTGAGTTCCCCGACACCAAACAGCAAGTTTTTGTCCGGGCCTTGTTTGGGCGTCCATTCCGCATGCGCAAAATCAATCAGCTTGAGCGAGAGAACTTGCGGGCCTTTGTTCAGGCCTACAACGTCATTGTCATTTAGGCGTACACCGGCATCGTGATCCAGGCCTACACCGTCATCGCCGTCCAGGCCTACACCGTCATCGTCGTCCTCGTCGCCGTCGGCCACCTCGGCCCGCTCGCTGTCGTCGCCCACGGCAATGCCACTATCAGTACGCGTGGTCGTGCGGCTGGCATCGTCGTCCTCGTCGCCGCCGGCCATCTCGGCCCGCTCGCTGTCGCCGCCCATGGCAATGCCACTATCAGTACGCGTGGTCGTGCGGTTGGCGAGCTTGGTCTCGAGGTCCGTCTTGCTCTCATCTTGCTGCTCGATGGCGGCGCGCAGTGCCTCTCCGTCGCCCTCAAAGACGAAGAGCAGCGATGACGAGTACATGCGTGTTTCAAGTTTGTCAATAACTTTATAAACGTGTGCAATCTTGTCCGCAAACATCTTGCATACGGCGCGGCCCAGCGCCTCGTCAATGCCTGCGGCCGGGTTAAACACGAAGCGTCGAAAACCGTCAATGATGTTGTCCTTATTCATCGTCACACGGCCGTAGTCTTTGTCGTAGACGAGATAGCCCTCATCGTCGAGTCGAGCGGGGTCGTCGGACCCACGGTAGACGCGCATCCCCGCGATGCGGAAGCCGTGCGTGAGGTGCGTTGTCTCGGACGCAATTTTGTCGAAGCGCGCCTTTTTCGCGGCCGGCGCGTTGTCGGCCCACAGCCGCATGCCGAGCTTGACATCGAGAATATTGGGCTTCTTGAAGCCACTGGCGGCGTTATCCAGCGCGACCGCCAGGTTGGTCTCGATCTTTTTGCCGTTTGTTGGGACCCAAGGGGTGTCGTCGTTTGGCGCCGCCGCCGCCGTCATCTCGGCGGACGCGTGCGAGACATGCTCTGCGATGGTCGCTTTGATTTGATCCTTGAGGGTCTCGACGGGGTCGTTTATGTTGAGGTCGAAAGGGTCGCTGTGCTCGAGTCCGCCTATAAAGGTGGGTATAATGCCGGCGAAATCGCTTCCTCGAACGACGCTATTGTAAAAATCTATCTCGGCCTGCGTGCAGGGCTTGATGAAGAGCTCTCCATTGGCGTCACATAACGTGCCAGCGCTGATGTGGTCAGTCAGTATAGCATAGTAGCGCGTAAATTTGCAAGGGTACTTACTGTCCTGCGACGGCATAATTGTAGTCGAGCAGTTCGTCCCGATGAGGGACCTTGCGTTTCATAACGGCGACAATGTCCAGCTTCGAGCAGACGGAGGAAATCAGAAGACGTCCATGCAATGTTGCTGATCAGATGGGAGAACCGCTGGGATGGCCGAGAGATATATCAAATATAGGCGGGAGGCTAAGAGAGTGAACAGAGCGAAACGCCGTGGTTTTGGGTCGTGTACAGCAAGGAAATCAGAATCGTGGGGCTCGGGCGTGGCTTCGTCAGAAAATGTTGAAGATGTAGATACGAAGGAAAACAATGCAGACAGGGAAATGATATAAGTAGGCGCACGCTCAGCACATGACAGGCCTGTCGTCGTGACCAGGTATGCGCATCGAGTAGATGGTGAATCACAATGCGGCTCTCGAAAGGCGGTACAGTGGCGTACAGTCATAAAAAAGAAACGGATCTAAAAATACTGTGAGCCAGCCTGGCTGTCGCCCAAGGGCAAGCAAGGTACCAAACCTACTGAGTACCTAGGCCAACGAGGCCAGCTTGGGCTGCGGTGGCGCTGCGCTGCTGTCAAGGTGGGGTGCCCTTGTCATCGGTACAAGGATTGGAGGCCACTACAAGTAATTGTGATATTTAATAGCAGAAAATTTGGCAATCTGTACGGTGATGGAACGTTATTATGCATTCTACGAAAGATGTTTAAAGCTAATCTCATTGAATTCCGGCTGTGTTTAGGAGGATGGAACCTAGTCATTTATCCCATGCCATCCACAGAAGTCGAGCCAGCCCGTGAGCCACTGTGCAATGTACACTGTAGCCCAAGCTGTGTATTTCACACTGTGCGGCCCGTGCAAGGCAGCACGGGTGACGCTGAAAGCTGTAATTACCACCAGCTTGTTTGGCTGACCTGGCACGCGGGTGACAAAAAAAATGGCCCATAACGAGAGTACCGAAGTTTAGCTGCCTATATTTAAATAGTTCTTGATAAACCCTAGAAAATGTTTTTCAAGTGGAAATGAAGATGAGATTAAAGTTTAGTGACTAAATTATTTCTTGTGTCTTTTATGAATTTTTATGAATTTTCTATTACTTACTATTCCTTAAGCCTTTCGTTAAGTATTATGCGGACGCCTTGCAAGAATGGGCCAGCTTTTTTGTCACCCCCTTGCCTGGTTGCCTAGTTGGGGCCGCACAGCCATACCGCCTCGCCACCAGACCGAAACTGACGTGGCGGCTTTTCGCTCTCGCAAAAACATCCGGTCTCAGCCACCATCTCCCAGGCATCCTGCCAGACTTTAAGATCGACCTCGCGATTCGCCCGCGCTCCCGGCATTTTCTTTGACAGCTCCCCACGTTTCGAAAGCGTGGCTTAGCCCGTCAGGCAGCAGAAGACGACGATGCCGACATGCTGCAGCGAAGCGGCCCGTCAAAACTGCCTGCCATTCTGCCTTGACAGCTCACTTTGCGCCATGTCCGCATTCGGCCGTCGTCCGCGTCGTTCAGCACTTGACATTACATTAAATAGAGAAAGACTAGACTGTCCTCAGTTAATTACAGATTTTCAGCACCTCATTCCCGTCTTTTTCCGTTGCGGCTGCTATTGGCTGCCCTGCTTCACCTCAAAGACCGTCTTGCCCAGACCGCCCTTGCCTTTGTACGTTTGCCAGCACGCCTCGCGCACCTTGTCAATATCCCCCAAGTCCACGCGCAAACCCACTACGGGCCGCAGCTTGCCCTGCTCTGCTGCGTCCCCCAGCAGGGCGAGATGTTTGCCGCTAGACTCGAGGAAGATGTACTTGTACTCGACGCCGTAGTAGCGCGCCTTGAGTTTCCGCAACTGGTCCGTGGCGTCGAGGAACATGCGGACTGCAATCGGCAGCCGCGGCTTGTCGGGCGTGTCCATGAAGCTCGAGTTTTGCAGCGACGCGCCCGAAGGCCCCGTCGAGACGGACACGACCAGGCCGCTGCCCTTGACCAGCAGTGGCATGAACTCGGTCGCCTGCCCGGTGGTGTCAAAAATGAAGTCAACGGAACCGGCGGGGATCTTCTTGGTAGGGTTCTCTTTGGTGTAGTCAATGACTGTGTCTATGATTAGCATCGTAGCAAAGGACAAAAACTGCTGGTTGCGCACGTACCCTGATCAACGACGTGGGCTCCAAGCAGCTCAGGCACCTTGGGCACCTTGCTCGTCGAAACGGTGGTAATTACCTTGCCCGCTTTGAAGATGTTCTTGGCAATCTGCAGGCCGTATGCGCCGGTACCACTTACTGTCCGTCATTTAGCTGCAGACTCGGATCGACGGGTGTCCCGTCTTTACGCATGTATCACTCACATCCGGCAGGAATAAAGACCGTCTTGCCCTCGAGCGAACCCTTGTACTCGCGTAGGGCCTGAAGCGCCGTCATGGCAGCCAGCGGCAGCGAGGCGGCCTCGCTAAAGGAAAGGTTCTTTGGCTTGCGGGCGATGAAGCTCTCCGGGCACACGACAAACTCAGCCCACGAACCTACCATGTCGTCAATCAGCATCGTTGTCTCGCCATGCTACCCCGTCGCAGATCGCACACGTACCTCTGCTGGTCTCTGGCAGGTTCACGTACACCTCATCACCCGCCTCGAAGGACGTGACACCACTGCCCACCTCCTCCACCACACCTGCGGCATCATAACCCAGCTTGTACGGGAACCTGCGGCGCGTTGGCCATTAGTGGTTGTTTCAACCAAGCCCACCAAAATGACGCGTGACGTACGTGTCGTGGACCGCCAACTTCATTAATCCTTCTGCCTTTTTTACGTCGATGGGGTTGATGCTCGCCGCGTGCACACGGATCAGGACGTCGGTCGGCTGCGCGATCGCCGGCTTGGCGACCTCAGTCCGCTCGTAGCCATCGGGTTTGGTGTACTTGGGTGCTGTGATTGACAACATTGTACTAGTCATGTTGCGGGAGACGTAGAAAGGAAAAATAATGGTTCTGAGAGCGGTAATGAAGAGTCCTGGGGATGGAAGATATTCTTGAGCTCTTAAATATATAGCTGAACTCAAGGTTTAATTCAAAGCGTCTGCCTATTAAGAGCATGACGCGCGCGGTCCACCACGCCGCTCCCCGCCGTCTTGGGCCAAGTCCGCAGCGGGCATGATGGGTCCCATCTCCGGAGGAGGACTGAGTGCGTTGCAGGGTCTGATATTAGATCATCTTCACAAACGCAATGAAAAAAAGTGACCTCAGAAGCGTTTGCAACAACAAAACGAGATATCTTAACGGATACTGTGCCGAGGTCTTTCGGCGCAACTGCACGGAGTAAAATTGCTCCGCAATCAGCCTCTCGGGGGCAAGCTGCATAATCGGTTTGCGGAGTTGCTTCATAATGGCCTCGCAGCGGAACAGATCTTACTTTGGACGGAGCTGAGGCTCCCAAAATCTCCTACGGAGAGTAAGAGATTTTTGAGAGCGCCGAAAATCAAGAGATGATTGAAACCCCGGTCGATGGGCAGCTGTTATTCCCTATTTTAATCCCAGGCGGAAACGCCGACGTCACTACAGATGACCTATAACCTGTATACCTCCGTAGGTCCTATGGCGTTTACAAAAACCACAAGCTCAAGTATTGAGGGCCTGTAGACCAGTCGTAAAGATAGTGCCGTTGGGTAACGATTGTGCACATTGATCAAGTAGAATTCTGCCGTGCCACGCCAGCCACCTACGGTTACCAGCTTGGTGCGTTTGCAAAATGGCCTCTTCTCATGCACGCTGCCGTTTGTCAACATAAAACCGCCATCATCAAACCACACCTATCCTTTGCCATTCTTTCCTTGTCGCATTCCGCCGTCATCACAAAAAAAAGCTTGACAACGAAAAATCATCATGGATTCGGACCATGAACATGATGGTCTCGAGCTGGACGATGCCCCATACGTTCACCAGAAGAAGAAGAAGAAACGCGCAGGAAGAAAGAAGAGGCGCGCAATTACTGGCTTCGAAGGTGCATTTCCCGCTGTCTGCTCACTTGGCGTCATCCATCTAACACGTAGTAGAATACTATGCCGATGCGCCCACAACTCCAGAGGAGGCTCGCCGTGAGCAAGAAGAGCTCTACGCCAGGCAAGACAACAGCGCGCCCTCATGTCATCACATAACAAACAAGGCTAATCTTTCTCCCTTAGCACGATCCCGTTTGAACAGTAAGACTTTTCTCTCCCCGTCCCATCAGAGCCCTCAAACTCGCAGCTGACAAAACGTCCCAAGGCGCATCCAGACTTGCATCCACCGCTTCCGCACCCGCCGGAACCTCAACAGTGAGCTCAGTACCTACTTCAACGAGTACATGTTCCTCGGGGGCATCGACACCTATACCGCCTTTAGCCCAGAGCAGCTCGAGGACGGCGCGCTGATCCCACGGGGCTGCGAGCCGACGACGCACGACGACGACGACGACGCCGCCGCCAACTCGCGATTCTACGACGGCAACGCTCGCAACTGGACCGTCGACTTTGCCGCCGTCGCCGCCGGCTTCCTCTCCGTCTCCGTTCTGCCGCTGGCTGGAGTCGAAGCCGTGCCCACCGAGCGCGCCATCGGCGTCGTGGAGAATTTCCTCCGCTACGTGCTCCAGCACGACGTGTGCCCGGAGCACGCCGCCAACATCTCCGAGGCGCTGCGCGTGTGTGACCGCGCGCGCGACGAGTGGCCCCGGTTCTGGCGGCTCGAGAGGTTGCTGCCCGGCCGGTTCACGCTCGCCGCGGCGCAGACGTTTGGTGTCCACGAGGAGGCGGACTGGTTCCTGGAGGGGCGCAACGAGGAGGCGGGCAAGGCACCGACCGAGGTGAAGCCCGAGGTCATCTTTTACGCGTCGCTCGTCGCGGCGGGTGTGCGCGTGCCCAAGACGGAGAGCGGCCGGAGCGCGCTGACGGTGTCGCGCCAGTTTACGTGCTCGCTGACGCTGCGCAGCATCGAGATGCCCGACGATGATGTTTCCGGGTACTTTGAGCGGCTGGCGCTCGGCGCGGGCGCGGACACGATGACGAGGCTGAAGCTGCAGCCGCTCGGGCGCGCCGTCTTCCGGCCGGCGGAGCTCCAGGACGGCTGGGTGCGCCAGGTGCCGTTCGAGGCGCTGCCCGCGGACGAGGATGTCGTCTTCCTCCTGGAGCGGGACATCCTTGAGGCCATGACGGTGGGCACGCTAATGACGGCGCACGTCTGCGAGCTCAGCTCGGGGCTGCGCTTCATCAAGACGATCGAGACGGTGCAGCCGTCGTTTTACACGTTTCTGCCGCAGCACCTGATCAAGGACTACAAGCCGCCCAGGGCTAATGACCGGCCGCCACCGTCGATCCACGACAGAGCGGCGGCTGCAGAGGAGACGCAGGTGGAGCGGCCGCAGGATGAGGAATCGGAAGCAGAGGAGCTGAGCAAAGAGTAAGAAGAGTAGAGTAAGCAATCGTGCACTTGCTGAGCGTTAAGAAACCGAAAACAATATATGTATTTATTAATTGCGCTGCGATAGCGATTGATTCGAGTCGACTTACATCCCAATAAAAAGGTGTGAACGATAAGAAAAAAGGCGCTGCCAAAGCCATGCAAGCCCTCTAGGAACCTCGAGCGGCCTCAATAATTACGCAACAAACAAGAAACTTGAAAAAGCGACAAAAACACACAGGGATAGCCCGCCAAATAGAGAGTGGAATTTTCCGGCGAGATTCCACATGTAGCTTCTGCCGACGACAATGGCCATCGCTGTTTGACCAGACATTGTTCAGTCACGGACGGCACGGCTCGACGACGACGGTATACGTTCGCATCACTGCGTCTTCCATCCGTCAAAACCACTCTAATCGTGCGACTGAACCTTGTTATCACCCGCGACAACCGCTGCATAAGACGGAGGGACCTGGTCGTCAGAGCGTCCCGCGCCATTATTGTTCGTCGATACGCCGTGCTGCTGCTGGTGCTGATGCTGGTGCTGATGCTGGTGCTGCGATGCATTGCTGTGGTGCTGGCCGGTGCCGCCATAGTTCATGCCGCCATGAGGCCGCTGCTGCTGCGGCTGGTGCTGGCCTCCCGGCGGCTGGACATAGACGTAGTGAACGCGGCCGCAGCCGCCCTCGCCACCCTGGTTCAGCACCTCGTACTCGTAGGGCGGTTCGGGGAACTTTGCGATGATGTACCAGGCGTGCAGCATCCCGGGGATGAAGCCCAGCAGGCAGAGGAGGATGTTGATGAGCGAGTCGGCACTGCAGATGCCGCGCTTGACCCAGACTGAATATAGCGCGAGAGTTGTTGTTAGCAAAATTGTATGTGCGATTGCGTTTTTTTTGCCTGGGGAGGGAGCCAATATGTGGCGGGGGGCAAAACTGCAACTAAAACGTACCGGGCAGAGGAGGGAAGAGAATGGCGAGGACGCCGAGGAAAATGTCAGCGGAGCACATGGTGCGTTGTCGTTGAAATGGGTCGACGGAGTGTAAAGTGAAGTGATTGCGTGCAAGATGAGGAGGATGAAAAGGTGTCGTGGAGTGAGGGCGTGTTTGTTCTGAATGGTAGCTATATTTGTGTCGGCTTCCGGCTATGGCGGCGCATACGTCACGCGGGGAGGTACAAAGGTACTTGCGGCGGTCGAAATAGGTACGCATTCGAAATATTACCTACCTTAACACAGTCGGGTCAACATTTAGTAAGCGAACTACATTGGTTTGAAGAAAACCACAAGTCTCCTTTAGATTTTGTAAAAAAATTCTGAAGTAAGTCTATTATTGGCGTGGTAGATGAAGCAAGCATTGTTTATTTCTTCGAGCGAAAATTCCAGATCAAAGGCACCGTCCATTTCCTGGTCACATCATGGCTCCTGACGTGGCGGCTTACGCAAAATTTAGCGATTTTGCGGCACATTCGCGGCCAACAAATTAAATCTACCTACGGCCTAGCCTCAACTTCTGACTTCCAAGAGACAAATACTGGCATGGCAAGAGTTTTGCTCAAGCATCATTTACTACTCAGCACAGCTCGGAAAAAACCTCTTGTGTTGCACAGTCGATGATGCCCTACCATGCATGCCGACTTGTTCCGTGAATGGAGAACCGAGAAATGCCCAGAAAGGGAAACTAGATGCGGTTTATACTGAGTCACACTAGGTACCTTGCTTTATCGGCGTGCCGGTCCCAGCAACTCTGCTTGTAAGGCTGTTGTTTGGTTGGGGCGATGCGTTGGATAATGGGCACGAGCGGGGCTAGCAGTATGACTCTATATCGGGAGGATGAGGACCGGGCAACTAAAGTGAAGTAACCAAATATTCCACCGAAGAAATCATCATATTCGAAATATTTGCTCCCACGGACACGCGCCAATTCCTTCACAGGTAAAGAACCATGTATTCGATGCAATTAACATTGCTGACCTGGCTATATCACACCACTGTAATTATAAATGTACACCACCTAGCAATGCTCGTGATAAAACCTGCAAAATGCCCCATGAAACTCCAAGCGCCGTTCGACAAGAAGGATAAGTTCCCTCAATTGCAGCAATAGCAGCATCTCTCGTATCAACCCCAAGTGCCGCCGCCGCCGCCACGTCCTCCTCTCTTCTGCGCGCTCAGTCTCCAATCGTCCTCGCCAGCAAACTTGTTATACAGCGGCAAGATTCTCTCCTGCGCCTTGCGCTTGCTCAGCCTGTCCGTGGGCGCCACCTTGAAAAACGTCGGCGCCGCCTCCACCAGCCACTTGGGCTCAATCGCCGTCGTCCAGTGCATGTACTCCTTGGTCGTCAGGACCAGCTCGTGGTAAATGACCCACTCGGCCTGCTTGCCAAACAGCGCCGACGACGGGTGCAGGTACACGGGCGTGCCCTCGGTCAGCGTCTTGTAGCCCTCCTGGGGGTCCTTGCGGGCCGCGCTCCGGAAGAAGCCCGTGCAGAGCGCCCGCCGCACCTTTTGCGTGTCGCGCCCGCACGAGACGACGGGGTGCCGGTGCCGCTCCATGATGCGCAGAATCTGGTCGCGCACGTCCTTGGCGCGCCGCATCGAGCGGTCCTGGATAAAGTTTTCAAAGCACCACGGTCTCGAGTAGCTGCTGTGCTTCCACGCGTTGTACACGTTGAGCAGCGTGAGGTGGTCGCCGTGCGGGTCGTGAAACTTGGCCTTTTTCTGGTCCGCCTGCGTCTGCTTTTCCTTGGGCCGGTAAAAGATGGTCGACTGGTTCAGCATGGCCACGATGCTGAGCATCTCCTCCGAGCACTGGTAATCGACCGCCGTGATGAGCACTTTGGCAAGCGAAGGCTCCATGGGAAAGTCGGACATTTTGCGGCCCAGACGGGTGAGCAAACCCTCGTCATCCAGAGCACTGAGAGCGTACAACTCCTCCAGGGCTGTAAGCATTGTATTGACAGGCGGAGGGTCCATGAAATCAAAATGCAACAAATCGTTGATACCCATGGCCTTGAGCATGAGAATGACGTGTGCCAAGTTGGCGCGCTGAATTTCAGGGATCGTGGTCGGCAACATTTCCGATTGGTAGGCGGCTTCGGTATAGAGCCGGAAGCACTTTCCAGGTCCAGTTCGTCCAGCACGGCCAGCTCTTTGATTTGCTTGTGCCTGGGAAATTGGAGTAACGATGAGCGAGTCCATGCCCAATTTGGGATCGTAGGCGCTCTGCTTGACGAAACCTGGATCAATAACGTAGTAAATCTCGTCAATCGTGATTGACGTCTCAGCAATGTTGGTGGCAATGACAACCTTTCTCGCGCCGGGCGGGGCGGGATCGAAAATTCGGCTCTGCATCTCGGTTGGAAGCTGCGCATACACGGGCAGAATCAAAAGTTCGGGCACTCCCGGCCCAAGTGCCTTCATTCGTTCAAAAAGCACTTCGCACGCTGTGTCGATTTCTTCCTGACCTGTGAGGAAAAGGAGGATATCGCCCTTTGGCTCTGTCAAGTGGATCTGCATGACCGTGACCAGCGCGGTATCAAGATAATCGGATTCAGGCTCCCGCGAGTATAGTATCTCAACAGGGAATGTTCTGCCAGGAATCGTAAAGATGGGACATTCGTTAAAATACATGGAAAATTTGTCGGCATCGAGGGTGGCAGAGGTGACGATGACCTTGAGATCAGGACGGCGTTTGAGAGCCTTCTTGAGTAGTGCAAAGAGCACATCAGTCGAGATGGTACGCTCGTGCGCCTCGTCGAGCATGATGACCGAGTAACGCTTCATATCAGGGTCACCGAGAACTTCTCGGAGAAGCATACCGTCTGTCATGTACTTGATCTTGGTCATGGGGCCCGTCATGTCGTCGAAACGGACGTAGTAACCGACTTCCTCACCCAGCTTGCAACCGACTTCCTCGGCAACACGCTTTGCCACGGACATGGCCGCAACTCGTCGCGGCTGTGTGCAGCCAATGACGCCGTCATTAGCAAAGCCGCCCTCGGCGAGATACTGCGTCAGCTGTGTAGTTTTACCAGAGCCAGTTTCACCAACAACAATCAGAATTTGGTTCTCTTGCACAGCTTTGATAAGCTGCGAGCGGAACGCATATACGGGCAGTGTTTCGCGCTGCTCTTTCATGCTCAGATTTGTTCGTTTTCCTAGCGTTTGGTTGCGCGGGACGATTGCTCTTTTCCACTCGGGAACATCTTCTGTACCCGCATTCATCTTGGCATTTCGCAAGTCACTGGCGAACTGTCTCTTTTCGGGGTCTGCCATGGGGTCCTCCCACTGGGAAGACAGGTTCTCCTTGGGCCTCTCCTTGGCAGCCTCTGCCTCTTGCTGTTTTAGTTCCTTTCTCTCTTTGGCTAAAGCTGTGCCGGACATGGCAGCTCTGTTCATGGAGCCATCAGGAGCCTTGACAACACGAATGGGTGATAGCTCAAGTGACTGTTTTGTTTGGCCCGCGAGGAAAGGAGGCTCTTCTTCGCGAACTTCGATATCAACATCCTCCTCAAGCTCCAACTCCCCGTCGCCACGCAAAGTCGCGTTGTATTCCTCCTCCAAGTCAGGGTAGTCAGACGCTTTGGCGACACCAGAAGCAATCAGTTGCCGGATCTCCCAGCGCTCGGGCGACGTCATCCTCTTCTTGTGTTTTCTTGGTGCACCAATGTCGTCTCGTGGCATACCGGATGGTACATCGTTGAACCCTCGACCGCCGCCACCCAGTGCCTCCATGTTGGCGCCGGACGTGAAGCTCACTTGCGGCTCCTTGTCCATGCCCGTGGACTGATCGACGGATGCCATGGAGAGGCTGATGCGCTTGCCCTCAACGCTGACAACCTTGACCCACACATTCTTACCCTTTTCAAGGAGATCTGAGGGGTGGTTTACGCGCTGATGGGCGGCAATCTTGGAAATGTGCACGAGACCATCCTGTCGCCCACGAACATTGTGCAGATTGACAAAAGCGCCAAAGTCTTTGATGCCTGTGACATGGCCTTCGTATACTTTATTGAGCTGAGGCTCGTCGTCCATTTCGGGAGCGGGCGCGTGTCTTGAGGCGTCATAGCGATCCTCCCGGCGTCCGTGGCGGCTCTTGCGCGAGTCTCTATATCCATTGCGCGAGTCTTGGTCGCCTCGGTCCTGTGATGGTGAGCGCGAACGAAATCTGTCGCGCTTTCGCCCTTCTCTTGATCGTGACCTATCTCGTCTTCGCCGTCGTGATTCGTCGCGGGGACTCCGGCTTCGTTTCCGTGTACCCTTGTCTTTGCGAGCTTTGCCTTCGAGACCTTCCAGAAGCGCCAACGTATCGTCGATAGCATCGCCATCGTCGTCTCGGTAGGATGGCTTGCCATCTGCGAGCGCAAGTCCGCTAAAAGCCTTCTCCTTTTCCTCAAGCGACCGGCCGTGGTGCTCCTCTTTGGGCTCAGCCGCGGCTTTACTGCCCTTGAAGCGGGGATGCATGGTCAGCACCAAGCGTTCCAAGCTGTCCACTAGACTTGGCGGGAAGTCGGCGCCGAGGCCGTCCAATTTCGAGCGAAACTCGTCGGCATTTTTGCTCTCGATGCGTTGGGCGATGAGGAACTCGGCGAGAGTCTTGTCGCTAACGCCAACATGGTTCTGAAGTTCTGAGGTGACCTTGGATACAAGCGAGAGCAGTTCCAGGTTCAGAAAATCATCCATGCTGACGGCCGTTGCCCTGCAGGGACTCGTATCTAAGGAGTCGGTGTGGCTGTCGCGGGAATTTGAATAACGAAAAAGTGCAAAAACTTATCGCGTTGCGCGCGAGACTGTAGATCGAGGTCAAGTTAGGTGCCACCAGTGGGTCTCACAGGCAGCATTGGTGGGGCTGAATGGCCTGAAAGTTAATAAACGCCGACATAGTTGAAATATCATACCCTCTAACAGGTTTTCGTAGATAAAATCTTTTCAAGATATATTACTATAGATTCAAGCTTCTTCGATAGAATGTTAGAAATCTTTTTAATATACTGAAAAGTGTGATTTCCTTATAATATGCCGAAAAAATATGCTAGATAGTAAAACATGTTAGAGGGCATGGACTCGCTCATTGTTACTTTCGTCTCCGAGGCACAAACAAACCTTAGAATAGGAGCAGGAAAGCTTTCAAAAAAGATATCTCTAGGAGTAGCTTTGTCTTGTCAAAAATTGCGCTCACAGTGTGTTTTAAGCCACACTGTCGCTGAGTCAAGTAGGCCTTTCACTCGCTGTAAGTCTGGAGCCAACACACACTGAACGCTCATCAGGTGAAAAAAGTGCAGAACAGAATGCGACTTGGACTTTTGTTTTAGACTTGAACTTTTTTTTATCGGAGCAACATTCGCCCTAGTGAGCCCGGAGCCAGTGCGCATCAAAGTCGACGCAAGATGCTCCCGCAAGCCTGGCATGCAATTTCCGCAAATTTTTGGGCAGCGCTTCAGACGGCGTTGTGATAGCAGGCAGATGAAAACCTTCAGGCGAACATGCTGTTGGTTGATCCAAGCGACGACTGTGACGAGGCTTAAAGCTTGGACGTTCACTTCAGTAAGAGAGCGTTGCTGAGAGAGCTTCACTGAAGTGAGTGTTACTGAAGTGAGCGTTGTATGACCACCCCACGACATATCTCAAGTGCAACGTAATGACTTCATAGCTCCGCTCGGATCATTAAAAAGTGATAGGTGACCAATCCTGAGCTCACACCACTCGCATACGTCTCGGCGCCCGTGACAACAACCATACCAGAGTGGCACAGCCATGCTCAAAGTAGCGCTGCAGACTCAACATGGGTCGTCCAATCCGGAAATAATAGTGTGGGAGAATCTCGACCGTTATGGATCATCCTAAACTGCGGCCAAAGCTGCAGGTGGACTTGAGTTATTATTGTCACACAAATTGCCGCTCTACCTCTGTGCTACGATGCACAGTTGCTGGCGGCAGTTGGATCACAGATATGATTCGCATGTCGAGTCCGTGAGGCTTGCTTTGTGGGACGTCCGCAGGATTCTGATTCTTGGCACGCGGCAAAAGACGTCTAAACGAAATACAAATCATATTAGACGCCGGATTCCGCGCTTTGGCAACGTCAGACAAGGCGGCTTCCCACGTCCAGTTGACGTACCACTAGAGACATGACTGCCATTATGAAAAGACTACTTAAATGTAAGACCTTCCCCGAATAATCTCTCATATTCCAACAACATTCATTCTTTTCTATCCAAGAACGCCTCTAGCTACATTTGCTGGCAACAATACAATGTTCATGCTCGCGTGTCACCATCTTAGCCTAGTTTGCGGAAAGGGTGCAGCTTGTGCGGTACGTCATTTACACCGATATAATCTGCCTCGACTTTACAGCGTCTAATTTCTCTTCTCTCTGCGCAATGATTGTGGCTGCTTCGCCTCGGCCAAAGGGACTCTGGGTTGGCGACGGATTAACAATCTTTTAGATGACTTTTTACAGGCCAGTCACGGATTTTGGGAGACACAAGCACGCAGACATCCCCAGGCACGCACCATGTCGAGCTGTCACGGAGTTACCTGAAGTTTCCTCGGGGAATCGGAGTGGAACCTTGCAACAATGGTCGAGAAGTGGTACAGAGATTTGCCTCAATGAAGAGTCCGATCAGCTGTCCTACTGTCCCTTGGCATTGACGGTCGGGGTCGCTGGATTATTCGATGTCGTGTCTCGCAGCGACCGTGCAAAGGACTGGTTGACACGATATTGTGTCTCGCAACGATCGGTGCAGGTGTTCGCAATTCCGATGTCTTGTTGCAATTGCGGACCGTACTCTGAGAGGCTGAAGGATGGTTAGCAATGGTTCAAGATGGAGACCGAGTGTGACTCTCGCAGTTGCATAGTATGTTCCGTATGCTCCCCGGGGTGAATAGCTTCTCTACTCTGATCCATCTCTGGTGCGTGTCTTGGGATGGATGAGGGCTGATCTTGGTGGAGGTACGGGTTGCTCGATGAGGATAGTTTGATGTGAATATACAAGGCATTTACAAAGCAAAGGAACACACGATGAATCTCAATTTATACTCTGTAGAAAAGGCACTTACGCAGGAAAGCCTCAGGAACACATCTCAGCGCCATAGCCACATTGTAATGATCATTGCTGCCAGGAAAGGGACTGGTCAAGACCCAGGTCTTCTGTAGCGATGGGTAGCACACACCTAGTAGACAGGGAGTT